ATCCTGTAGTATATGACTTAGTCCCAACGGTTTTACTAAACTCCACCGTTGGTTCTGACTCAAAACTTCCACCTTGGTCTCTGTGGATTCGGATGTGAAATCCATGGTGAGTTATGAAATCCCCCCAAAGCATAGTAGCAACAGTCTTGCTGTCCCAACTCTACTAGGAAATGCCTGTGCGTATTTGGTGAAGCCATCAGTGACCACTAGACTGTTTTTAAAGCACGTTGCAAAGAGGCTGTGCCAGTTAAAGGAGGGCAAGCCTTTATGTAGACTAACTCAGTAGCTCTATTGCCTGGGTCATCTTAGGCCCAGAGGTTCTGTCCTTGGCCAAATCCAAGGTCCTTTCTACCCTGATGTGACCCATTGCTTTGTGTAGGCAGGGGTCATTTAGTAGAAAAAGAGGTGCAGGAGCTCATTTGCATAACTCATTTGCATATGCCACACCCCCTGACAAAGGGCAGGTTCCCTACCTGATCTTCTCCAGGTGCCCCGTGGCCAGGCATGCTTACAATGCCCCAGATAGGGAAGGGAAAGAAAGGCATTTAAATCCCCCCTATTGAAACCCCCCCCCCCCGCTTCCCCGCGGAGGCATGGCTGGGCAACCAAAGGACAGGCATGCAAGCATGCCTGGGCTCCCTACTCCTGGGTTTGTTACTCCCGGAACGAAATGGCCCCTGGGTGTAGGATATACCACTGCCCTGATCTGGATCGCCCAGGCCAGCCTGATCTTGGAAGCTGAGCAGAGTCCTCCTGGTTAGTCCTTGGGTGTGAGACCACCGTGGAAGTCCAGGGCTGCTCTGCAGAGGCAGGCAAGGGCAAAGCCACCTCTGTCCACCTGCCCTGACCTGGATGGGGAAGGCTAGCCCAGTCTCAGAAGCTAAGCAGGGTCGGCCCCGGTTAGAACTTGGATGGGCGACCGCTAAGCAGGGTCGGCCCCGGTTAGAACTTGGATGGGAGACCACCAAGGAAGTCCAGGGTTGCTATGCAGAGGCAGGCAAGGGCCAACCCACCTCTGTATGTGTCTAGTGTTGAAAATCATGTGGGCTCCCCATAGGTCGGCTGCCACTTGACGGCACCTCCTACCACCAGGTTACCACTAATTACTCCATGCCTACTCCTTTGCATTGTACTTTTCTCCAGCTGCCTTGGTGGCCCTTGCAAGCAATGCCCCCTCTAAACTGTGGAGTTTTGTAGGTGTCAGAGTGGCTGAGCAGTGGGACAGACTGCCTCAGCGGAACCTGGATGACCATCTTTTGGGTGTGTTGCAGGCAGGGGCCATTTTCTAGAAAAAGAGGCGCAGGAGCTCATTGGCATAACTCTTTTGCATATGCCACCCCCCGACAAAGGGCAGGCATGTTTAAAATGAGTTAAGGCATATGCAAATGAGTTTAAATCCCCCCCTTCCCTGAGTCTCTCCGAAAAAATGGAGAGGCTCAAGGGAAAGGGGGCCATGTCTGCCCGCCTCCCCTCCCCCTCTCCAGCCAACCCGCCATGGCAGGCTGGCTGGAGCAGGGAAGGGCAGGGAGGCAGACATGCCTGGCTTCCCTGCCCAATCTTCTCCAGGGCAGGGAAACCAGGGCTTTAAATCTCCTCCCGTGCCTGAGGCCGGGCGGTCCAGAGAAGAAGAAGAAGAAGAAGAAGAAGAAGAAGAAGAAGAAGAAGAAGAAGAAGAAGAGATAAGATTTATACCCCGCCCTTCACTTGGGAGTCTCAGAGTGGCTTACAAACTCCTCTCCCTTCCCCTCCGCACAACAGACACCCTGTGAGATGGGTGGGGCTGAGAGAAGGGTGGGGCTGAGATGGGTGGGGCCTGGGCTCCTTCCTGCCAGAGCACCGTTCCAGGGCGCTCCGGCAGGAAATGACCCCTGGTTGCAGGGCTGTCTTTCAGCTCTCCTCCTGCACAGTGCAGGGGGTTGGACTAGATGACCTGCAAGGTCCCTTCCAACTCTTAATATTTGATGACTCTATGACTCTATTGTCCAGTTTGTGCTCTCTTGGACTTGAAATGATCTAGAATCCTAGAATCACAGAGATGAAGGGGGCCATAGAGGCCATCTAGTCCCACCACCTGCCCAATGTGGGGTCAACCTAGAGCATCCCTGACAAGGGTTTGTCCAGCTGCTGCTTCAAGACTGCCAGGGAGGGGGGAGCTCACCACCTCCCCAGGCAGCTGATTCCACCATTGCACAATTCTTACTGCCAAAATGTTTTCCCTAAGAGCCAGCTGATATCTTCCCACCCTCAGTTTATACCCGTTATTGCAAGTCCTCTCCTTTGCTGCCAAGAGGAACAGCTCCCTGCCCTCCTTGAAGTGACAGCCCTTCCGATACTTTATGAGAGCAACCCTGTCCCCCCTCAACCTCCTCTTCTCCAGACTGAACATCCCCAAGGAATCCCTCAGCCTTTCCTCCTAGGGCTTCTTGGTCTCCAGGCCCCTGATCATCCTCGTCACTCTCCTCTGCGCCTGCTCCGTTCTGTCCACATCCTTTTTGAAGGGAGGCCTCCAGAACTGCACACAAGACTCAATAATCTCAACACGTTTTGGAACTTGCAAGGGTGTCTTTAATCACGGTTCCCCTCCAGCATGACCCTTCAGGGTGAAGAGAGAATTAGGCTATCTTGGTGTGCCTTGGGTGGAAAGATGACAGAGAGGAGAGGGGACTCCGGGACAGTGGAGGAGGATCAGGGCCCGAGTTGGTACATCGACTCTTGACAGGAGCAGTTCTTCCGCACAGACGGCTGTCAGTGATTCCGGGCTTCAGACCAGGTTATTCTACCGAAAAGAAATGAGAGTTAGAGATCCAGGACCGTCCACATGCCTGGCAGTGAAACCGACTTATCTAGATACAATGGGACCTTCCGGGCTTCCCTTTCCCCCCCCCTCTCTCCTCCCACCAACCTCTTGTCTGACCGTCAGAACACTCTCCATATCCATTCTTACCACCCTCCACTGAGAAAATTGCCCATGTTGAACAAAACAGGTCCCAAGACAGATCTTTGAGGCATTCCACTTGTCACTCCTTTCCAAGAGGATGAGGAACCATTCACAGGCACTTTTTGGGTGTGAAATGTCAACCAGTTACAGATCCACCTAACAGTCATAGGATCCAAGCCACATTTCACCCATTTTGCCAACAATATTATGTCAAACCTTATCAATAGCTTTACTGAAATCAAGATAAACTACGTTTACAGTATTCCCCTGATCCAGCAAGGTAGTAACTTTTTTTTTTAAGAGTGAGATAGACATAAGGTTAGTCTGACATGACTTGTTCTTGAGAAAGCCATGCTGGCTCTTAGTAATCAGAGCTGTCCTTTCCAAATGCTTAAGGACTGTCTGTTCAATTATTTGTTCTAAAACTTTCCAATGTATAAACGTCAAGGTGATGGGTTGATACTTACCCGGATCCTCCTTTCCCCCCTTCTTGAAGATGGGGACAACATTTGCCCACCTCCAATCTTCTGGCACCTCACCTGTTCTCCAAGAATTTGGAGAACTTAGGAATGGCACTTAGGTATGGCCCAGACTAGGTATGGACTAGGTACGGCCCAGGCTAGCCCAATCTCATTGGATCCTGGAAGCCACACAGGGTTGGCCAAGGTGGGTATTTGGAGGTGAGGCCACCAAAGAAGTCCCGGGGTTGCTGCGGAGAGGCAGACCACGGCCGACTCCCACCCAGGTCCCCAGCACAGAGGCTGCAGACTGGTGAGGGATGAGAGAACATTCTATCACTGAGCCAAGTCCCCTCAGTGTACAGCTGTGCTGCGGAGCTCCCATGAGTTGAGTTCCCTCCTTGTACCCTGGTGGCCACCGTATCAGAGGCCAGGCCATGGCATCTGTGCCGTGGACTTCCCTTACCTCTAATGGCCTTCATGCAGCTGCGGCCACAGCCATTGAAGCAGCATTTCTGTCCTGCATCACAGCCGCTGTCGCTCCTGCACAAGTTCGCACAGACCCCAATACCAGGCCTGGGGCATCTTCCAGGGCGCACTGGAAGGAAACAGAAGGGCTGAGAGGCAAGGGGAGGGAGGAGCATTCCGGGCAGCGGGCACAAGAGTGCCTGTGGGTAAGGTTGCCAATCTCCAGGTGAGACCTGGAGATCTCCCAGAATCTCAACAGCTCTCTAGACTACAGAGCTCAGGCCAGACCAGTTCTCCTGGAGGAAATGGCTGCCTTGGAGGGTGGATTCAGTGGCCTTACACCCCGCTCCGGACCCTCCTGTCCTCTCCTCTCCTCTCCCCGAGCCCCACCCTTCCCAAGCGCTTAGTTATGGCCCAGACTAGGCCAATCTCATGGGATCCTGGAAGCCACACAGGGTTGGCCCAGGTTGGTATTTGGAGGGGAGACCACCCACGATGTCCCAGGTTGCTGTGGAGAGGCAGGCCATGGCCGACTCCCAAAAGGCCCCCTACCTTGGAGGCTGCAGACTGGTGAGGGATGAGAGGACGTCTTGGGCAAGGGAGATTAGAGGGAAGGAGGGGAGGCAAGGTCGCCGATGTGGGGCAGAGGACTGCGTTACTGCAGCTGGCCCCCCTCCCCTAACTGCCCCAGCCCTCCTTCAGGTTCAGTGGCGGGGCCCTGGTGCTGTGGGAGATCCCCTCCTTTGGGTGCAGGAGGTCCCAGGCATGTTCCCCCAGCGCCCCCACCTGAAAGGGACATTGTTTCAGGGGGGGTCTCAGGTGAAGCCCTTGCTTGGTGCCGGGGACAGGCCGGGAGTCAACCTGGAGCAACAGCCCCCCAGTCCTCCTTTCCGGCAACATTCAGGCTGTGTGTGCGCACTCTGGAGACCCCGGCCGGCTTCTGCACCTCTGTCTGCCCCTCCTCTCTCACCCCATCCCTGCCTTCCAAATCCTGCTCATGCTCGGAAGCACAAAAAGAACACTGCAGGACACGAACACACGAAGCTGCCTTAGACCGGATCAGAACCACTGGTCCAGCCAAGACAGTTTGGCCCACTTAAACGGGATGCAGGTCGATTGAACCTGGGACCTTCTGCATGCCAAGCAGAGGCTCTTCCACTGAGATCCTGGAAGGGTTTTTTGCCATCTTCTGGGCTGGAGAACAGTTGCTTCCTGACCCTGAAGTAGCAGTTGGCATTCCCCTGGCCGTGTAAGAAAGGGCCACAAGAACTAAGCCCTGGGGCAGACCTTCCTGCCCTCCCTGCCCTCCCTCTCATGATCTGCCCAAGTTCACAGAATCAGCATTGCTGTTGGATGGCCATCTAGCTCAAAGCTTCCTCCAAAGTGAAAAGCACAAAGCAGCCATTTTCCCCAGGAAAGTGCTTTTCACTTTGGAGGACGCTTTGAGCTCACTAAGAGAGACTTTTTGCAGCATTCATTGAAACCAGTGAGGCACATGGCAACTGAAGGAAGAGCCTGCTAGCTGGTCCTTCCTTTGCTTCCTCTTCCAATCAATGGGATTTTTGGTAGGGGAATGTGGAAGTGTGAAAAGAAACTCAACCCTGGAGGTTAACTGCTTTCTTAGTGCTCAGAGTGAACGTCTAGCGGAGCTTTTGGTGTGTTTTTATATCCACAAATTCCTTCCCAATCCATTGCTTCCTGTATCATTGTTTCCTTCATTTATTTTCAGCCCGCCTTTCACCCCAATGAAGACCCTTACATCATTCTCCTGTCCTCCAGTTTATCCTCACGTCAACCCTATAAGGTAGGCTGAGAGTGTGTGACTCCCCCAAGGCCACCCAGTGAGCATCTAGAGCGGAGTGGGGATTCGAACCTGGATTTCCCAGATCCTAGTCCGACACTGTAACCAGTGCCCCACTCTGGGTCTATATTACCTGTTCCTCCCTATACAATACCCATTCTTCTTCGGCATGTGAGTAATCTATTTTAGGATGGGTTTTTCCTTGTGTTAGTGTGTTCCTAGGACCCGCACACTTTGCCTCAGTTCCTAGTTCCACACAACCATCTTAAAGCATTCACCAAACCATAAGTCATGTCCCGACCTCATTTTTCTAACTTTTAAGATGTTCCTTAGGAGTCTGTTCAGTGTAGTGTTGATGGGACCCAGTGTGATGTAGCGGTTGTGGTGTCAGACTCGGGTCTAGGAGAACCAGGCCCAAATCCTCACTCTGCCGGGAAGCTTGCTGGACGGGGATGGGCACAAACCAGCTCACAAATGAAAGTTTATAACTAATTTTGGCTGATTTGTGAATTGATGTTCATGAACTGAAGATCCGCCACAAACTTGCATGAATTTTAAGGCAGTTCGTGGTGATCCAAGCCAGTTGGTGTAGTGGTTAGGAGTGCAGATTCTAATGAGGGAGAACTGGGTTTGATTCCCCACTCCTCCACATGTAGTTTCTGGTGTGACCTTGGGTCACTTATAAGTTCTTTCAGAGCTGTTCTCTCACAAGCAGTTCTTGAAAGAGCTCTCTCAGCCCCACCTACCGAACAGGGTGTCCGTTGTAGGGAACGGGAAAGGAAAGGAGATTGTAAGCCACTCTGAGACTTTTTTGGGTAGTGAAGGGCAGGTATAAATCCAGTCTCCTCCTCCTCCTCCACAAAAACAGTTGAGTGGTGGGGAGCAGAAAGCAGGAGTTTTAATGGCTCCCTGTCAAAAACCTACTGAGAGAGTCAGTTTGGTGTCGTGGTTAAGTGCACGGACTCTAATCTGGGAGAACTGGGTTTGATTCCCCACTCCTCCACTTGCACCTGGCTGGATGACCTTGGGCAAGCCATAATTCTGATAAGAGCTGTTCTTGAAAAAGAGCCGTTTCTGTCAGAGCTCTCTCAGCCCCACCGACCTCACAGAGTGTCTGTTGTTGGGAGGGGAAGGGAGAGGAGTTTGTAAGCCGCTCTGAGACTCCTCTGGGTAGTGAAGGGCGGGGTATAAATCCAATCTCTTCTTTTTCTTCTATTGGTTCATGGTTCGGTTTGTGGTTCACTAACAAACCGAACAGCAAAAATACGGTTCATGCCCATCCCTATGGCTGGATAAATTAGGGCTAGTCGCTGTCTCTCATAGTAACTCACAGGGTTGTTGCGAGGATAAGATGGAGGCGAAATACTGTTAGTGTGTTTGCAGGATCCACATACTTTGTCTCAGTTCCTAGTTCCACACAACTAAGGTTCTTGTACTCCCTAAGGTTCTTGTATTCAAGAAATACATAAAATTCCACGTAGTGGTACTGTAAGTGTTTTCATTTTGAGTGGGCGTGTAAGAGAGGGACTGTGTTCCACCCACTGGGCTGGGAGTTCTAATAGTAAGCCAAAGCTCAGGCACCTATTCCTATCACAAGAACCCTGTTGGATCAGGCCTGTGCTCAGGACGCTTCGGAGGCACGTCTTTACACAGCCCAAGAGCTCCAGCCACGCTTGGTCAGAAGAAAATATCAGTGTCAGCCAGAAGCCTGCAATGTGGGAGGCAATATGTCTAATATTGTTTAATATTCACAGGAACATTCTACTCTGGTCCCGTCTGAACTCTACCTCTGGGGTACTGTGTGCGTGTGTGTGTGGGAGGGAAGGTTGTCATCTCAAGACACACAACGCAACTACACAAGGAGAAGGAGAAGAAGAGATTGGATTCATACCCCGCCCTTCACTACCCAGGGGAGTCTCAGAGTGGCTTACAAACTCCTTTCCCTTCCCCTTCCCCACAACAGACACCTTGCGAGGTAGGTGGGGCTGCGAGAGCTCTGACAGAAACGGCTCTTTTTCAAGGACAGCTCTTGTCAGAGCTACGGCTTTCCCAAGGTCATCCAGCCAGGTGCAAGTGGAGGAGTGGGGAATCGAACCCGGTTCTCCCAGATTAGAGTCCTCTGCGCACTTAACCACGACACTAAACTGGCATCCCTGATTACTAAGCCTGGCCCTACCTGGCCTGGAAGAAAGGTGCTTTTAGGCAGCGTCAGAAAGGGTTCGCTTACCACGAGCAGAGGCAGGAGGCACCTGGGCACAGAGAATGAAGACGAGCCCAACGAAAAGGAAGAGGAGGCAGCGAGTCTTCATGGTGAGGCACTGGCGGCTGCCCGGACTCTCCCTGAACGCTTTATATCCCAAGCCCAGAAAGAGGCTGGCCACAACGCAGCCCCACGCAGGCCAAGCAGTGAAGCAACAGGAAACACAGCCAAAGAGCTACTCTTGTGTAACACTCCTCGGGAAGATATGCAGCTGAGCAGGTCATTGGGGGGGGGGGTGTCTTCTTCCACAGCGTGCGTTCCATTTCCAGCCAGCGGACTGGATCCGGTGCACATTTCCATGGGTGCAAGCACACCGAGCCCCAAAAGACCCCCCCCAAAATCCTGGTCCTGGCAGTCTCGTCTCCCCAAAGAGCAGGACTTCAGGGGGGCCTCTCAGGCACCTGTGGGAAGAGGGAGCTGCCGAAGTCACACTCCATTGGGCACAACTGTGTGCATTGAGCTCCAGGTGTCCTTTGCATTTTCAGCCAAACAAACAAGAAATAGGAAGCATGACATCCGTGGTGGTGAGTCCACACACAAGCAGCTAAAGGAGGTTTCCAAATATCTAAAACTATGTCCATACACAACTGTCATACGTTCAGCTTATTGGCTCTCATCCATCTCACAATCTGCTCCAGGCATCTGTTCAGGACTTCCACAGCCCCCCCCTGCCTCAATGGTAAAGGGAAACAGGCGTGGGAATAGAGGTCGCCTATATATTGGTGATAAGGTAAAGGTAAAGGTTTTTCTTGCTCGAAAGCTGGTGAAATCTGACTGGTCAAAGAAGAAGGGGACGGCAAAGGATGAGATGGTTAGACAGTGTCATCAATGCAACGAAGATGAAATTAAGCAAGCTTCAGAGGACAGCGGAAGACAGGAGGGCCTGGCGTGATCTGGTCCATGGGGTCGCGAAGAGTCGGTCTCGACTGTGCGACTGAACAACAACAAAAATATATTGGTGATAAGGTAAAGGTAAAGGTTTCCCTTGCTCGAAAGCTGGTCAAATACGACTCTAGGGGTGGTGCTCATCCTTCCAAGCCAAAGAGCCAGCGCTGTCCGAAGACGTTTCCGTGGCCATGTGGCTGGCATGACTAAACACCGAGGTGCATGGAACTCTGTTTCCTTCCCACCGAAGTGGTACCTATTTACCTTCTTGCAATTTCTCGCTTTCGAACTGCTAGGTTGGCAGGAGCTGGGGCCAGAGCCGGGAGCTCACTCCATCACATGGCACTCGGGTCTCGAACTGCAAAACTACCGATCTTCTGATCTGCTATTCAGCATCTTAACCTCTGAGCCACCGTGCCCCCTACACACATGTTGGTGATACCTTCCTCCAAATCCCCCGATGATCTCTCCCAGCAGTTTCCTATTGATGTTAAAGAGCAATGTCAAAAAAGACGGAACCCATTGAGACTGCACAGCATAAATGCCAAGGTGCCAAGCTGCCTTCCCTCTGCACATCCTTCTGGAATTGTCCCTTCTCCGAACCCAGGCAGCCTCTCCAGAAGGACATAAAAGGCCCTTGGCACTGAGAGGTCCAAGAGAATCAACACGGACACCTGTCCTTCTCCAAGTTGGTTGATCACAAGCTAAACATGAGCCTCCAGTGCAATGTGACTGTGAAGAAAGCTAGTGCAATCTTAGGATGCATTCACAGAAGCATTATGTCCAGATCACGGGAGGTGGTCGTTCCACTCTGTTTTGCTGTGGTCAGGCATCACCTGGAGCCCTGTGTCCAGTTTTGGGCACCACATTTTATAAAGGATGTTAACAAGCTCGAGCGTGTCCAGAAGAGGGCAACCAGGATGGTGGGAGGGTTGGAATCCAAGTCTTACAAGGAAAGGTTGAAAGAGTTGGGTCTGTTTAGCCTGGGAAAGAGAAGGTTTAGAGGGGGCATGATTGCAGTCTTCAAATATCTGAAGGGCTGCCATGTAGAAGATGGAGCAGATCTATTCTCTCTTGCTCCAGATTGCAAGACTAGATTTAATGTGTGGAAATTACAAGGGAGTCATTACCGGCTAAATATCAGGAGAGACTTCCTGACTGTCAGAGTGGTTGAGCAGTAGAACAGTCTGCCTGGGAGGTGGTGGATGCTCCTTCGCTGGACGTTTCCAAGTGGAGGCTGGGCGACCATCTTTCGGGAATGTTGTAGGGCTATCTTTTGGCTGTGCTCCTGCAGAGTGCAGGGGTTAGACTAGATCACCTGCAAGGTCCCTTCCAACTCTAACAATCTATGATTCTATTCTAAGTGAGTATCATTTGTCAGGGCCACCAAGGCCATTTCCACCCCATACCGAGGCCTGAATCTGAATTGAAGGGGGTCCATGTAAACGGGTCTCTTCCGAGGCTCCTTGAGGCTGCTTAGCCACCACCCACCGGCTCAAGCAACTCACCCATAAAAGGAATCTTGGTCACTGGGAGGGGGGTAGTTAACTCTTTGGGGTCCAAGGAGCCCTGTTTTGGGAGGGTTCTCACAACCAACTCTTTCACGTTCCTTTGATCGAGGAAGCCTGTCTCGACAACAACGTCCATGAAGAGCAAGGGTCAAATCTTGACAGGGTGGGGCACACACATCTCCCAGCAGTGATGCCATCGCATCAGGCCTCGACAACCGAAGGCCGTCCAGTTAAGATCCTCCTCCAAAGCCCTGCTCTCTGAGTGTCCTTCCCACCTGTCTGGGAGAACCACAGCTCTGGTTAGACCTCCCCTAGAGTCTTGTGTTCAGTTTTGGGCACCACTATTTAAGAAGGATACAGACAAGCTGGACCGTGAGTCCAGAGGAGGGCAATGAAGATGGTGAGGGGTCTGGAGACCAAGTCCTAGGGGGAAAGGCTGAAGGAGCTGTGTATGTTTAGCCTGGAGAGGAGACGACGGACAGGTGATATGAGAACCATATTCAAGTACCTGAAGGGCTGTCATATAGACGATGGTGCGGAGTGTGGTGCTGCTCGTTGGGGTGTGGGGTGCAGGGGTGCATGTGATACAAAGACGACAGGATACAAGCTTGCAGGAACTGTCTGAAAACCTCTCGGCTTCCCAGCGTTTATTTTATAAGCTCCGTTTCCCCCCCTTTCCTCTCCCCCTCCTCTTTTCCTCCGTCTATCTGCGTAGAGGAAAGTTTCAAGCATTCTAGCATCCTTAAGGAATGTGTTTGTGTGTGTGTGTGTGTGTGCGTGTGTGTGTGTGTGTGTAAGCTCTCTGTTATCTGCCAAGGTCACAACACTGACTGCGTAGGAATCACCAGACTTCTCATGCTGTTAGCACACAAATACCTCTGGGTTCCCAATCTCCAGGCAGGAGAATCCTGCACTGCCCTACATGTCATCCCTTTTTTATTGTTTTAATGTGAAATCCTTTTTGCCAAGGTAGCTTCACATGATGAATTCAGCACATCAGCAGATGTGTCCTCCATGCAGGAATAACATTAACACTCTCGGGCTTGCCTCGCAAGAGCGAACAAACATTGCTCCTACATTCCATCTGCCTTGTGCAATTAGCTAGGTTCCCAATTTTTCCAGGAGAACAGCCAGGAGACCAGTGCCCTCGTGCGGGTTTGCCACGCAGTCAGCACTGCCCTCCTACAGCAGAGTTTTTTCCGTTGCTCCAGAAGGTCAGACCAGAACCAATGGGTTGAAATTAAATCAGAAGAGTTTTTGGCTAAACAATAGGAAGAACTTCTTGACAGTTTGGTGTAGGAGAGCCAGTTTGGTGTACTGGTTAAGTATGCGGACTCTAATCTGGGAGAACCGGGTTTGATTCCCCACTCCTCCACTTGCAGATGCTGGATGACCTTGGACAAGCCATAGTTCTGTCAGAACTGTCCTGAAAAGAACAGTTTTGGAAAGAGCCATCAGCTCTCTCTGGAAAGAGCTCTCTCAGTCCCACCTACCTCACCGTGTGTCTGTTGTGGGGAGGGGGAGGGAAAGGAGTTTTTCAGCCACTCTGAGACTCAGAGTAAAGAGCGGGATATAAATCCAATCTCTTCCCTTCTTAGAGTGGTTCCTCAGTGGAACAAGGTTCCTGGGGCGGTGGCGGGCTCTCCTTCTGAGGAGGTTTTCAAACAGAGGCTAGATGGTCACCTGTCAGCAATGCTGATTCTGTGAACTCAGGCAGATCACGAGAGGGAGGGCAGGAAGGGTTGCCTCAGCGCTTAGTTCTTGTGGCTCTTTCTTGCAGGCCCAGGGAAATGCTGATCAACACGTTGGGGTCAGGAAACAATTTTTTGCAGGCTGGTTTGGCCAGGGAACCTAGAGGTTTTCTGCCATCTTCTGGGCGTGGAACTGCAGTCACTGGAGGTGCAGAGGGGGAGGTATTTGTGAATTTCCTGCATGGTGCAGGGGGTTGGACTAGATGACCCTGGAGGTCCCCTCCAACTCTTTGATTCTATGACTCATCACCACAAGCTCCTCAGTGAACCAAGGAGCATTCCAGGCTCTGCAGGAAAGAGCAGGGTACACCAGAGCAATCGTGTCCACAGCCAGGGACACCTGTGTATTCCACAAATCAGCCACAAATGCCACAGGAGCGTCAGCCTTGCTGACCAGAAGATTCCCAAGAGACATCGGGAAACCATCCATTCTATCAACCTCCTGAGATGGACCATCCTAGCTGCACCCCCACCCTACCCTCATGGAGGTTCACCTGGTCGGTTCATGGCAAGGGCAGAGTGGAAAATTCCCCCACACCAAGCCATGTGCTTTATTCCTAGAGAGAACCAGATCAGACATATGTCCTGTCATACGAAGAGGGACAGAACATTCTGGAACAACCCCACAACAGCCATGACAGCCATGACAGCCATGATGTCCTCAGCCAATCGCACCAGGGTGGCCTAGGATTGGACATTGGCAGTCCTAAGGACAACAAACCTCAGAGTCCTTGACACCGAATCGGAGACTGCCTCTGCCAGCTCCGTAACGGTGGCCCCTCGGGCAACGGTTACAACGGTGAATGGAATCTTGCAACAGATCATCTTTCTGAATTCAGGTAAGGAACTGGTTCTTCCCTGGAGAACTTTGTGGTGAGCCAAGCTCAACTTCTCCAAACCAC